AGGCTTCAGAAAACAATTAGATCATTCTCTGTGGGGTATCATTCTCTGAGACTTTCCTAATTTCTGATTTGTAGCTGGTAGCTGAGGGCCCATCATCTTTTAATAGTAGTGTGAGTGATTTTAACCTTGCTAGTGATGAATCTAATCTGTGGTTTCCTGCCCTCTTGTACGACCCTTTGAGAGCTTCTGCAGTTTATCTCCTTCAGTTTGGCATTTCACTCTCCTTGAGAACTTAGGGTCATCTGCAGACCTGCAGGCTCTGCTGTATCATACTCTTGCCAGATAATTTATAAGAATGTGGTCAGTCAAGATATCAGTCCTTGGAGGCCTGCAATGCTGAGAATTCTCCACAGAGAAAAATGTCAGCTTTTCAGGTTAAATGGCTCCAATTTGGGAATCAGGATCAGATATTTTTCTTTTTTGTGTTGTTTTGTTTTGGGTCTCACCTATTTCCTGCTATGAATTGACTCTGTTTTCTATAATTGCCTTTCTCTTGGCATAATTCCCTTCCCAATTTTGAGAGATTCTGTTTCTCTGGGCAATCTCTTTTCTATTTTCAGTTAACAACATAAAAACTTTTTATTTCTCAAGATATCCAGTCTCTGACATTTAGTCCTGCTTGTCAAACATCTTGCCAATTCATTGAATAAATCAGACCTGTTGAGTCCTGGTGTGGTGCTGTGGGTTAATGTGCCAGACTGCAAAGCTGTTTGAACTGCAATGTCGGCAGTTCAAGCTCACCAGCTGCACCTTGGAAACCCTATACAGGGTCGTTATGGGTCGGAATCTACTTGACCGCATGTAACAACAACAACAACAACATTGGTGTGGCGCTGTGGGTGAATGCGCTGGACTGCAAAGTAGGTTTGAACCAAAAGATCGGTGGCGCAAGCTCACCATTTGCTCCTTGGAAACTTTATACAGGGTTGCTATGGGGCAGAACTGACTTGATGGCACTTAACAACAACAACAACATTGTCTATATTGAGCAATCAAAATCATGGATTCTGTCAGGCTTTCATAAAAGGTAGTGGGGGAAATGAGTCTTTTGTGCAAATTAGCCGTAACAGTCATGTAGAGCAAGTTTAGCCAAATATGCATGGAGCTTCTGACTGGATATTTTGAGGGTGATCATTTGCATGACAGCAAAAAGAAGATTTTCCAGGGAAATAAACATTGCTTGTAGTGGGTAAATCTGCCTAATGATGAAAACATTTGATTCTTTGGGTACCTCTTCAGAGAAAGCCTTACCTACTCCCGTTAATAGGAGTGCTGGTGGCACAGCGGTTAAACACTTGGCTGCTAACAGAAAACTTGGTGATTTGAACCTACCAAGTGGTTCTGCATAAGAAAGACCTGAAGCAGCCCCTCATAAAGATCACAGCCTAAAAACTGCACGGGACATTTTGACACTGTAAGATGGGTGGATTCTCTATAAGTCAGTGTCAACTCATCAGGACCCAACATGAACGTTAATAAATAGTGAGTGAGCTAACATTCTTTGTTCCATGGTTTACTACAGTGAACCAATGTAATTTCATTTGTGAAAAGACTTTCTAGGTGTTTTTGGTTAAGAATGCTTATAAAAGGATATATCCCCAAACATTTCCACATGTTTTTTTTTCCATTTCAGCCTTTAGCTGATTGTACAAAGTTAAAGAAACTAGACCAGGAGTAGGTAACAATACTGAACTAAGTTTTAACTTTAATTCTCTTTGAAATGAAGTGGCATTTTGTTTCAAAGAAGAAAGTAATTAACTTGGGGCATTTTAATAATCATAAGCTTGGCCTTTTTAAAAAACAAAACAAATTGGGGTTGTGTATTGGGTATGAGTGCAGAATTCTTAGGTCTGCTTATGTGGTAGCTTAGCAAATTGATATTTCTTTTCTTTTCTTTGTTTTTCACATATGAAGCCTGGGAGTAGGTGGTCCAGTGTTGAATGTTATCAATCTCACAGGCTCCTTTTTTCTGCTCCACTTTCAATAATATGATGGTTTTATGATAACATCATTGTTGCTGCATCTCTGTAGCTGGGGAAGGAAGGAAATAGAAGAGCAAAGACACCAACAACTGTGCCAGAAATGTCTCTCCCTTTATACCACTGGCAACACTGTGAGAAAACGTCCACTAATATCTCATGGGCTAAGCTGGCCAACTGGCCTCCCCGACGAAGGAAAATGAGATGACCGTGGATGGTCTAGAGCAATTTGTCATCTGAGGTAGACATCTGGCTACCCTGAGATCAAGTGCTCGTATGTTTTGTTGGCAGGGGACAAGGTGTTGAATATATAGTAATGGTGCCTACCTGAGGTGTAAAATGTGAACATGCAGTCACTTTGAACCCCCCAGCAGTGCCATGGAAGAAAAGTCTGGCAGTCTGCTTCCATATGTAAAGGTCATAGCCAAGAAAACCCTGTGGAGGTTATACTCTCTAAAACATGTGATTGCCATGAGTCAGAATCAACTCGATTACATTGGAGAGTTTTTTTAAGCTGAGATTATAAAATGTAGCCATGGTTCTACTGTTGTTGTTGTTAAGTGTCGTCGAGTCGGTTCCGACCCATAGCGACCCTGTATAGGGTTTCTGAGGAGTGGCTGGTAAGCTTGAAACACCAACTTCATAGTTTAAACTGACTTTGCTGTCCAGTAACTTACAAGGAGCTCTGGTAGCGTAG